TCAAATGGTCGTCGTGATGTTTTGCGTGTCAATTCTAATCAGGTGCTGACACAGCTGATGTGCCTCAAAACATCATAAGCTTTCGATCCGACGGACTTTGTCCAGTCGTCCTAAGGGAATGTGCTTATTATCTGGTTGAACCACTTGCTAGTATTTTCAGCCGTTCCTTCGAGGAACAAAACATTGCCGACTGTTGGACACAAGCCGCGAAAAAGGAAACCAGGAAGTTTCGACCAGTACTTCTGTTCTCCTGAAAATTTCTGAAAAGCTTGTGCTCAGTAACATTATTCCTAACACTGGTCTATTAGATCACAGTCAAACCCCTTATCGCAAACAAAGTTCTACCTTAGCCGCCCTTGCGCACTTGGTAAACTCAGTTTTGCAATCCTCGATTGCAGTAATGCTTTCAATTATGTCGACTGGGGCAGTCTCTACTCCAGGGTCCTGGTTTGTCCAATACTACTCTCTCTACTCCAAGATTTTGGTGGTAGGCAGCTGTGCTGTCGTCCGGTTCACTACCATTCTTAACCTATCGGGGCCTTATGTGGTTCACCGTTCCAAGTCCCGGGGCTTATGTTGCCAGTTTCCACTACTGAACAGCAGGTCCTTATGACTATGGGGTTCGCCCCGTCTGCTGTTCGCCACACAAATGTGTGTAATAAGAAAATTCCCTATTTACACTTGCTGCACTTTATCGCCAAAACTTTTTTAAATTCCTAGGTAGATGATATCCCATGCAATCAGTTCCCCTTAACATGAGAGCAAGAAATAGCATCTTGATCACAGGATGTGTTGAATTTAACTAATTTTTGGTAATCTCATTAGTTGTATACGTAAACTCATATCACGTTTGGTTAAAAGAGTGCCAGGTTTGGAGAATTCAATCAATACGAAGGCCAAAGGTCACTAATTCGAATCGCATGGGGCACAGGGGAAGGGAGCGTAGTCACTAAAGGGGGGAGGGTGAAGGACAGTGACACCTATAAGGGCAGCGCGAAGCTGGCCACGAATTCCGTCTGTTTACACAAATGGGCCTTGTAACGTCGAATGGCAGCTAGTTCAGTAAACCGTAGTACATGGCTACCTTTCTGATGGATCAAGACACGAAAGGCGTCCCTAGGTTGTCAGATTCTTCGCAATCCAGTATATATCGGGCGATTGAACTGAAATGAAGCTTTGACTCATTCCACGCCAAATTCTTCGGTGCATGCACTCCTATCCTGGTAGACAACTGTCTTCCAGTTCTTCCGACCTACTTACTACTGCAAGTAAATTGAAATAGGTAAACACAGGAGGAGGTAATTGAAGGGTAGGGTTTGTCTAGATTGGATTCAGTGAGAGTTCGCTTCGTGTCGTTCATCATTATAAGGGAGGCAACATTATGCGTTCTTTCAATCGGCGGTATCTATCAGTATCTATCAAGCAACCTAAACCTGTGGCTGTTCCAAGTCTCCTTAAGTGGTCGCGGCCAAATCCGTGTGCCCGTTTGGCATCCGGGCCGAGTCCGTTGTGCGTAATCGGGGTTTTTGGACAGCCCCTAATGGTACACAGGAAAGATTTTTTTCATCGAATTAAACGCCGAGTGAGGATGGGGGCGTCAGCCGTGTTAAATGCCCATGAATTCGGTTCACCTCTTCCGGGAGACAGCCGAAGTAAAGAGAGAGTGAGCGAAACGGTTAATTAAGAAGCCTGGCGTTGTGCTGCAATTTCAGTTTCAAAAGCATAACCTAAGTCCTCTTTCTCCGTTCTAAGATAAATGAGAAAACAACAAATAGCAGATTTACGCGAAAAAGTAGTTAGATTACTTTCTCCTCCCTTGTTTTTTGGTTATTGAAAGAAACCTACCAGCGTGCAGTTCTCGATAAAGCGCTGTAAAGCGAGGCCAAATACAATCGACTGCAAATAGGT